TGATCAGAACCGAAAGTTTCTGTGATGAATGCCCTTGTACTGTTCACCATGTAAGAACTTATTCACTATGTAAGAATTCGTTCACCATGTAAGAACTTGTTCGTTATGCTTCAGAAGATTGGAGACTGACGAGAACTAGGCTTGAGATGGATTAATGATTGTGCATTGAGCATTGACCCCCCTATACAGAATTTTATTGTTGTTAACAACCATTTGATCAATAAATATGAGAGATGCCCTCACAAAAAAAAAAGGAGAATCAAATTAAATTTACACAAACTATGTATCAGGATCTGTGGGATACACATAAAGTAGTGATCAGAGGCAAATTTGGAGCGCTTAAGACTTTTACAAGAAAAAGTGGAAGAATGAAAATAAATATTGAACAGAAAAAAGAAATTCCTGTGCAACCTCTTTGCAAATAACTTTGAAAATCCATGTGACGTAGATGTTGTCCTAGAGAAATTCAGACTAACAAAATGCTAACTCTAGTGTTAAAAAGCTTAAATTTGCCAATTTTCATAGAAGAAATAAAGTTATTATGCAATTACCCCCAAGTAGCATTTTGCTCAGGTGGTCTTACAGGTGAACTCTAGTAAAGTATCAAGGATGCCACAGGACCAATGGCCTCTCTATAAATTATTCAATAACATTAGAAAAGAAGGAAAAGTCCCTAACTCCTCCTATGAAGCAAGTATGACACTGATAGGTAAAATGTAGATATGAAATCCTAAATAAAACATTAGCAAATATCCAACAATAATATGTTAAGAAACTAGTACACTGCGACCAAGTGGGATTTATTCCATTAATACAAAGTTGGCTCTATATTAGGAATTCTATTTATATCACTTATGGTAGTAACATAGTTAAGGACAACCATAGGTGCTGAACAAGCCTTTGGGAAAGTTCAACACTGATTCCTGTTAAAAAAAGAAAAAAGTGTAGAAAATAGGAAGCAGCGGATGTTTTCTAAACATGAAAGAAGATACATAATTAATTCCTAATGCCAGTATTTTATTAAATGGGGGACTACTAGACGCAAGGAATGGATGCCCACTCATTTATTCCTACTCAGTCTTATACTATAAGCATTTTTCAGTTGACCAGAGAAAGCTATCAGATTTATGGGAATGGAGAATAAGAGGTAAAGCTGTCTCTGTGTGCCAATGATATTACAGTATACCTGCACATCCAACAGAAAAATGACATATTAACTGAAACAATAATCAAAATCAGTATGGGAGGAGCATATAAAGCTAGCATAAAAGTATCAACAGCCTTTGTATATAACCACACAAAAACCCACTGGGGAGAACACACTGGTAGAGAAGATCCCATATATGACAACAACACATAAGATTAAATGTACAGGTATAAACTTAGCAAGAATATCGACACAAGGAAAGGTTTTTCCAAATGACAAGGAACTGTCATTACATCTATACAAGGAAAACTTTTTCTTTTGTGACAGTGAGTAAATGGAAAGACAGTCAATGTCCATGGGCAGAATAGTTCAACATTAAAAATATGTCAATCCTCCCTAAGTTAATTTATAGATTGAATAAAATCTCAAAAATAGCAGCAAACATTGTTACGGAGTTAGACAAGTCAATAGTAAAGTTCATAGTTAAAAAAATGCAATACCTAGGATATAAATGAAAAAGAAAACCTACGAGAGGGGAGGAATGATACCAGACATTCAAGCACGGTGTAAACCTCTGTAATTACAACATCATAGCACTGGTTCCTGGACAGATACAAAGCCCAATGGAATAGAAGAGAAAACACAGAGATGCACCCAAGTTCATACAGAAATTCTAGTATTAAAAAAAAGGGGGAGGTCATGTAACATCACTGGGGCAAAGCAAAGATGGACATTTAATAAATGTTGCTAGATCAACTGAGACATTTGGAGAAAAATAACAGTAGATTCATATCACAGACCTTCCAGAAAACAAACTGCAATGATGTTAGGGATTTAAACATAAAAAATAGAAATCACAACAAGTACCTGAAGAAAATATGGCAGAACTTTTCTTTAACCTCAGTGTAGGGAAAGGCTTTCTAACTGTGACTCAAATTAGGAGGCCGTGAAAGACAAGAACGATCAATTTGCCTGTACAAAAAATTTTTAAATGTTTGACAAACACATCCTAAACAAATCAAAAGGAAACTGAGAAAGTGGAATAGAGGACTTGCAGCATACACCACAGATAAATGGGTAATGTCCTAAATATATAGAGAACTTTTAAATATTGAAGGACAAAGACCTAAAAGTTCTGTCAAAATATGAGAAAATGATATGAACAGATGGTTCACAAAATATATATCACGGTCCTCAAAGACATGATAATTCAAACTTGCAATCACACAAATGAATATTAAAACACAAAAGTGACTCTTCAGGTAGAAGACATTTTTGACTCTGAATTGTGGTAATGATTCCCATACCCAACAATTAAATGAACAATTTAAATCAATCAGGGTGGGGGCAGGTCCCAAACTCGAATACAAAGATTGACAAATGAATCTAACCATATTGTAAATGACTATTTTTACCACACTGAGAGGTGAGGAAGAAAACAGCTAAGCTAAGTTACTGAAAAGGGTTCCCAATGACCAGAGCTGGAACAATTCAAGGAACAAAATTAACCATGATCTAATTTGACTATAACTGATAATGTATCATGGTTGTCTGGTAGTCCAGAATGATAAAAATAATTTTAATAAGTTATCTGAATCAGTATCTTGAGGTAAATTTTGTAAAAAAACTCGAAATGTATAAATAAATGGGGGAGAAAGGATGGCTCTTCAGAATTCCAATAAGTAAATGTGAAAGGAATGAGGACAATAGGAAGTCAGCATTAGGTCATAACTGTTGTAGGCGAGATCCCCAGATGGATTCTAAAAGCAGTGAGGAAATGTCTGAGAAGAAACAGGTATTTTCATAGCCTCAAAGTGTTTCCTACACAAGTTGATAAAGTATTTGTCATTAACAATGGGAAAACAGCAGCAGTACCTGGAGCAACATAATTGCCACCTTCAAGTGATCAGGATGAACACCAGCAGTAGCAAGTACAACATACAGACACCGTGTGCCCTGACATGATGCCCGTAGAAAGGGAGGAAAATCACTTTGCAGTTTCATGGTATAAGCCCTAAAATTAAGGCCCAATGATATACACACCTTGACATCTGGGGAAAACCCAGAAGACCTTGAATGGCCTAACCACAAGTTCCCTCCATATTGTTTTCCCACAAAGAAGGTTCCCTGGCCAAAGAACCCTTCTTATCACGGGAATAGGCACAGTGCCTGCTTACCCCTGAGTAGTCAGTTTCCATTCCCAACCAGCCCACACAGTCATTCAAACAAGCTGATCGCATCCTCACACTGGAACCAAGAATCACTTCATCCTCTCGTTACTACGAAGACTGCCCCCCAGAGCCCCTGGTTTTCACTCTCTTCCAGAGCATGACACCTGCGAGGCACTACCTGGCGTGTAGCATCCTCCTCCCCCAGGGGCTCAGTAAATATTACTAATAAACTACTATGGATGTCACCTGCTCAGTGTCGGGTGTCATGTGTTCGGCCACCCTGATAACACTAGGATGGAAAGTCCCCCATCACCAATGGAGGTAAACATTAATTCCTGCCCAAATGAATAACTTAAATATAATCCTAAGAAAATATCAGGGAAACCCAAATTGGCAGACATTCTATAAAATACCTGACCAGTATAGAATTTTCAAAAGCGTCAGGGATGTGAAAGACCCAGAAAGACTGAGGAACCGTCAGCCTGGAGGAGACTAAGGAGAAATGATGGCAAATGCCCTGGCGGTATCCTGAATGGGATCCTGGAATAGAAAAAGGACATTAGTGGGACAACTGGTGAAATTAAAATAAAGTATCTCATTTGTTAATAGTGTTGCATTAATGTTTATTTCCTGGTTTGATCATCCTTTCTTGGTGTCGTAAACTGTTAACATTTGGGAAATCTGGATAAAGACACTCTGTGCCATTTTCTGCAACATTAACGTGGGTCTAAAATTATTCAAAATAAGGAATAAAAAAATACAAGGTCAGTGGTTAAAGACATGGTTAGTCTATAAATCACGTGATTTAATAATATTTAGCCAACTGAAGCACAGTGAGAAAGACAGTAGGATAAATGCTCCCAGCATGTCACCCATTAAAAAACGAATGCAAACTGCTTTGTGAGCCCATTTTAAGGAATGAAGTTGCATTCATGCCATGGATGTACATGAATAATTAATTGGTCTCCACATGAGAAAAGCATTTTAAGTATAAAAGAAATGAAATACAATAGAAAGAGAAAGACAGATAGATAGATAGATAGATAGATAGATAGATAGATAGATAGATAGATAGATAGATAGATAGATAGATAGACAGACAGACAGATGGATAATTCAATATTTACAATTTAAGGTCTGGGACAGCAACAGTAATCTAAACAAAACTAAGATGCAAAGGAAAAATATACTTTGTTTTAAGAGAAAGGCTGTTAGATGCAAAGGAAAAATATACTTTGTTTTAAGAGAAAGGCTGTTAGATTCTGAGGAGAGAGTATGACTTTGTTAGCGATACAACAAAAGCTACTCACATGTAAGAATAGGGTGATGCAGAGAGAGCGGAGAGGAAAGTGGTTCCAATCTGAATGGATTTCCTGTCTTTTTAATCTCCAAACCTTGACCGTGGGTAATTTAGACCAATATAGGTATCATTTATCGAGAGAACACTGGTGTAATTTACATACTTGCTAGGTAATTTACTTGCTAGGAGAGTTGGAGAAAACTTGGGAACCATCCAAGACCTCAGCAGCACGAGCCCGTTATTTCCTCTCAGGAGGCTGCCACAAAAGAACATCAGTCTTGGCGGTGCGTGGAGGCTCAACGGTTTCTTGTCGAAGTTAAACTGGTCAGGAGAGGACTTCTATTAGCGGAGCTTAGGTCAGGTGACCCCCTTCTAGTCAGAGCTCGATGCTGGGAGGCGGGGCCAGACTCATGACTCACCCCCAGGAACCCCGTACCATGGAGCGCGCAGGGGGGAAAGGTTGTGTGTCCACAGGGCCCCTGGCATCTTGGATCCATTGGGTAGAAAGCGAAAAACGGGGCATCCACTTCAGGAAAAGTCACTTGAAGATAGGAGGGACTAAAAAAAAAAAAAAAGAAAGAAAGAAAGCAAAGCACACTGTCAGTGCATGTGGCCTGGGCACTGCCTGGCCATGGTTTCTACCAGGCCAGGTCTCAAACGCAGAGATCCAATGTCCAAATGTATCGGCTATGCAGCAAGGGCCGTTAGTTTGAAAATGAGCAACCAGTTGATGGCAAAATCCTTAAGATTAGCTCCCTGGTGATAGGGCTTTATTTACCACGTGGAAGATAGGTGATCTTGGCCAGGTACACTGACCCTTCAAAGACTCCATTATCCATCTTTAAAATGCCACTGGCAGTTGAGGTGACCTCATCAGGCTGTTGGGGTTTCAAGCCCCGTGAATACTACTTACCATATGTGGTGTAAGGACAGTATAAATCTTTGACTTCACAGTAGGTGATGGACAGCTGAAGTGTTTAAGGGGTCCAGAAAAGGTCCCAAACAACCCGAGGTAGGGATCATTAGAAAACCTGTTCTCCCTCCCTCGAAGGACAGGACATGAGCCCAGCCTAACGTCTAGTACTGCCCCAGAGACTCCTCAGCAGGAAACAGCCAAGGGGCCAGATTAGAGTCCCACTTGTCCAGAGGGGAAATGGGCAGGCTGGGATGATAAAGCACTTAACAGCTTTCTTTAGGCAGAGTATTGCTTGGTGCAGATCACAACAGCAGAGAGTTTTCCAAAGCAGAATCTTAAGGTAAGGTTTTCTTCCCCCACCCCCTTATATATCCTAACAGAATTTTGGAAACAGCCCTCTCACATGTTTCATTGGCAACATGTGATTCAGTCCCTGGTATATTGTACATTTTGTATGTGCTTTGAGTATCCTTTTTCTAAATCTTGGCGCCACAGTCATACTTCACTCACTTTATGGGAAACGTCAGCATGTTACTTAACTGGAAAGCTAGTCCTCAGTGAAAAAAAAAAATTCAAATGTGATCACAATTACCTTTCATTATTGAATGTCTGATTTCATTTTTCAATTTCACTAATTGTGCAAATGACTCTCTGTTCTATCTTCCTTCTGAATCCTAATATTGGTAGGTGGATGGTAAGAAAGTTAGATAGAAGCAACCCCTTTTGCTGCCTCAAGACTATGCCTCAGGAATCTGTGCCATGTCAATAAAAGATGCACTAGGTGTTTCTTCCCCTGGAGGAATGCAGCATAGATTCAGGATGGGGATGAACATTTTTCTTTTGTAAAAAAAAGTAAATATATTTTAACTTTGTGTTTTGAGGTAATTGTACATTCACATGCAGTTGTAAGAAATAACACATAGAGGCCCTATGGACGCTTTGTCCCATTTCCCCAATGATGATATATTACAAAATGATATTAGAGCCAGGGTATTAACACTGATAGTATACATTTATCTCATTTAGATTTTTCTTTATACCAGTGTATATCTGTGTGTGTGTGTGTGTGTGCATACTTCATTTTGTGTAGTTTTATCACATGTGGGTAGATGTATCCATCACAATAGACAAGATGCCAAAGAATTCCATCAGCACATTAATCTCTCTAATTTTACCATTTTGTGTTTCTATTTCTTCATTTATAGTGTTCTGTTCTATAACCACACCTATCTCCCTTCTAGAATACTTCCCAATACCTAACCTATGGAAACTCCTAAACCATCTTCATTTATAATATTTTGCCATTTCAAAACTATTGAACTGGAATCATATGTTAGTAACTTTAGGGATTAGCTCTTTTTCATACAACACAGTTCCCTTGATTATCCACCAGAGTTTTTGTATTTGTCAAGAATGTGTTACTTTTTAGTGTTGAGTAGAATTCCGTGATGTGGTTATACCACCCTTTCTTTAACCATTCACCCATCCGGGGACACTTGGGGATTTCCATTAGGTGAGTATTACAAATCAAGGTGCTGTGAAAAACTGTACAAGATTCTTTGTGAAATTAAGCCTTTAATTTAAATACCACAGTGAGAGTTCTGCCATACATGTTAAGTTCATGTTTAACTTTCAGAGGAGTTGCCGTAATGTTTTAAAAATTGCCTGAGCCTTTTTTACATTTCAGCCATTAATGCATGAGTGATCCGTTTCCCCACACATTCTTGCCAGTGTTTGATGTTACCCCCTTTTAAAATTTTTCTTAGGTATTCTAATAGGTGTATAGCGATATCTCCCTTTCTGATGCCTAATGATGTGGATGATACTTTGATATTCTTATTTGCCATCTGTCTGTCCTCTTTGCCAAACTTGCTCATGTCTTTCGCCCATTTTCTACCTGCTTTCTTTCACTGCTGATAGTTGACATGAGAGTTGATTTTATTTTCTAGATCCTAGTCTTTTGAAGGATATTTGGTTTCCGAATTTTTCTGCATTATGTAGCTAACATTTTCATCAATTCCGTAGCTTTTCAAAGAGAAAATTTTTTAATTTGGATGAGGTCCCATTTATTAATTTTTTAATGGATTGTGCTTTTGATGCCATGTCTAAGAACTCTGCTTGGCTCTGGATCCAAATGTTTTTCTCCTGTGATATTTTCTTAAACTATTATAGTTTTGCATTTAAATCTGTGACTATGTTGAGTTAGTTTTTATGCAAGGTGAAGTTGAGGTCAAAGATAATTTTGTTTTTTCTTTTTTGCCTGTGGATGTCCCATTATGACACCAGCACACTTGTAGAAAAGTCTATCTACCCTTTCTCCATTAAATCCCTTCTGCACCTTTTTCAAAAATCACTTGAACATAGTGTGGTTCTATTTCTGGGGTCTATATTCTGTTCCGTTCACACATCTGTCCATACTTCTGCTGATGTCACATTTTCTTGATTGCCATAGTTGTATAATAAGAATAAGATTATACAAAGTGATTCCTTCTACTTTATTCTTCTTTATCAAGCGTGTTTTAGCTATTCTGGGGTTCATGTCATCCCATGTACATTTTAGAATAAGCTTCTCTACATTCCAAAAAGCCTGGTGAGGTTTTGGTAGGAATTGCATTAAGCTTGCAGAACAATTTGGGAAGAATTGTCATCTTTACTCTGCTAACACTTCCAAACTGTGAACATGGTAGGTCTCTTCATTTGTTTAGGTCTCTGATTTCCTTCCTCAGCATTTTGAGATGTGGATCATACAGACCTTGTACAGGTTTTATTAGATTTATTCATAGGAATATCTTTTGTTTAGGACATTTGTAAATGGTATTGTACTTTTTGTCACCATGTTCATAGTTTTTTTGTTATATACAAGTGTGATGGATTTTTGTGCAGTGATCTTATAGCCCACCAACTTGCTAAACGCATGTATTAGATATAGGAGTTTGGTTTTGCACGTTGCTTGGAGTATTTTATGTAGACTGTCATGGCATTTGCAAATAGAGACAGTTTTTAATTATTTTTTTTCACAATCTGAATGCCTTTGGGAAGTTTTCAGCCATTATTTCTTCAAATACTTATTTATCACCTCCACCATTCCCATAGAATTGAGAAAAGAGATAGGATTATCTGGGAAGATCTGTGAAGGATCAACTGGTAAAGAGGAGTGAATCCTACACATACACACACACACACACACACACACACACACACATATACACACACACACACTAACCCAGAAGGGTTTTGAGAATGTTGTGTCAGCATAAACACTGCCAACTCGAACTGAATGGGTCAGAGAGAGGACTGAAAGAAGAAAACCTGTTGGACTCTCAAAATTCTACAGGAAGGGAACAGGCTGATAAAAGTACTCACCTGCAAACACATACTATCCTTCAAGAAAAATGGAAGGATGGTTGTGAGGACAGAGCGTTGGATGTAATAGGTGGAGCCTCAGGCACAGAGGGCAGAGCTTCCAGCCACAGAAGATTATTCCCAGGCCTTGAAGCCTCATGGAGTTGGCCTGGTTGGCTCTCAGGATTACTTGGAGCTGATAACTCTTTTCTTTGTTTTCCTTCACTTGGAGAGGGAATGTCTGCAACTATTTTCCTATGGCTACCCAGCTCTGTAATTTGGAAGTCCATTTCTTACTAGTTCACATGACCATTGATGGAAAGAAGTTCTGTTTCAGGGAGGACAATACCAAGTTTCTCACATGTCTGATTAAATGATTTACAGACAAAGTTTTGGACTTGATATGTAATGTGTAGAGACTTTGGGAGACTTGGGGAGGAGGTGAATGTGTTTTGCACATAGGATGGATATTAATCTTTGGGGTCCAGAAGGAAGACTGAAGTAGTAAGCTGAATAATGGCCTCCAAGGATACCTGTGTCTTAAGCCCTGGAACCTGTGAATGTTATCTCATGTGGCAAAAGGGGCTTTGCATATGTGATGAGGCTCAGGATCTTGAGATAGATAGAGATTGTCATGGGGGCACCTAATAGTAAAACTGTGTGTCCTTATTAAAAAGAAGAGAGTGGGAGATTAGAAACAGAGGAAGGGGACAATGTGACAACTGAAGCAAGATTCTATGCTACCAGTTTGGATGATGGGGGAATGGGTCACAAGGCAGGGAAGATGAGAATGCAGCTCTACAAGTAGAAAAGGCAAGTCCACAAATTCTCCCCTAGCGCTACCAGGGAGAGGGTGGCCTTGATGATACGTTGGTTTTGTCCCAGTGAAGCTGGTTTTAGACTTGAGCTCTGGGACTTTGAGAGAGTGATGCATGTATTAAGCCACCAAGTTCATGGGAATTTGTCACAGCAGCCATAAGAAAGTAATATAGGAACCTTTAGACATCATCTAGGCCAGTGGTTTTCAAACCATCCTCAAAAGTACTTCTTCCAGCTG